TGAAATACAATTAATTGGAAAATTCCAAGATAAGAAGAAAGCTCAGTTCTGGTAGACTCACAGAGGGTCTCATATTTCGTGGTTGATCTTGGTGGTTTCCATGGACAGTGTCAGTGTCTTAACAGGGGAAGATCAGACTGGAGACAGAACGCGTACCTTGCTTAAGGCATTGGCATTATTATATTGGGGTAAGCAAAACATTAGTGACCTTGATTTTAAATGCTTACATGGATCTCCATAAAATTCTTTCCAAAATTAAAGCATGTCGAGCAGGCTGTTCTAAGCAACAGGGTCTCATGAGGTAGTGGCTGAAGGATTCTTCTTTGGAGGTCACCGGTCAGAATTCTTGTCCCTCTTCTGTAGTCCTGGGGAGGTTGTCTAACCTTCATTTTTTAGTGTCCACATTTGCTCAATGGGGACAATGCTTTTGCTGGCCTAATAGAGTCATTGTGAGAATTAAGTGTGAAAAGCATGAGAAGCAGCAGATATGTGGTAAGTACAATAGTCATCAGTTGTCTTAAAGCAATCCCCCCACCCCTGGGGATTTTCATATGCTTTTGAAATTTTTACCCTCTATGCATGTTATTCTGGGTATAGACATATGGGATGATATTTAAATGTCTGTTTTTAGAATCGAGGTATAACTTACCTACAGTGGCACCCATAGGTTGATGAATTGTGACAAATGCACATGTCCAGGTAACTCGCACTCCTGTCAAGATCTAAAACATTTCCATCACTCCACAGCGTGCCTGTGCCACTTTCCAAGCATGCCCCTCTGCCCCCAGGGCAACCACTCCTCTGACTTTTATCGTTCCAGGTTAATTTTGTCTGCCAGTGAACGGAACATACAGTATATGCTTTTTTGTGCTTGACTTCCTTTGTTCAGCACAATACTTGTGCAACCTGTCTCTGCTATTTCATGTACTCAGACTATTTTTTGACGTGTGTATCTTTCTAGGACACGTTTGAAAGGGAGAGACAGAAAGAGGCTGGTGCTCGAGATCGGGAGATGAAACAATTAGAAGTGGAGCTGAGCTCAACTCATAATCAAATCAACCAGATTCAAGATGAGTAAGAGGAATGCAAGTTATCTTTTCCCAAAAAGAGTTGTTTGTTCTTCATTTAATTTTTAAGTGTGAAAGGAGACTCATGTAAAATGTAGGCATTTGCTAATAAGTAATAAGTAATATGGTGTGTGTGTGTGTGTGTGTGTGTGTGTGTGTGTGTGTGTGTTGGGAGTCAGTGTCTTTGAGTTTGGGGCCAGGATTTCCATATGATCCCTAAGGCCTTGGTCCCTTTGGCTCCATTCCTGGAGCCCCCTCTTTCCCATAGGCCTGTTGTCAACCCATATTTATAAACAGAGGAAGATTGTTCTATGGAAATCTATTTTCAGGGACAGAAATGAGAAAGGATGCAGAGGGAAAGGGTTAAGGAGGGTAAATAGAAAAATTAAGAGAAAGAGAGCAAAGGCAAGATGAAAGCAAGCTGCATTTATTTATTTATTTATTTTTTTATTTACTTTATTTTTTTTTACCAAAAAGTGCTGTTTGGAGAGCAATGCACATCATACTTACGTTTTTGCCAGTTCCATTGATATTTGTTCCAAAGAGCATCCCTTGGTCTCAGGTATAAACACGACACTCCCCGGCCTTCCCGATGCAGTTTGACACTTTTGTTGTACTTACTTAGGGGGTGGGGCTGAGAGATCAGACTTTTTAAATGATGAATAGTTCAAGATTCTGGAATAACTATTTGATATAAAAAAGTATTTTAAAAAGTTAAGCAGTGCCAGGCAGCATATCAGATGCCTGGTATGTATAAAACCAGGGTAGCAAGCTCAAGGAATCACTGCAAAGAAAATTGCAAACTTTGGGTCATACTTGAGGAGGATAGACATGTGTGTGTGAAACTGCACTCAACACACCTAACACGAGCCCATCAATCAATAAGGTATTTCTCCTCCCACAGCATCGTTCCATTGCTGACATGTATGGGGCAGCAGGGGATTCTGTTTCTAACCAGTTCAGGCTAATGATGGAATAGGGTATGGCACTCTGCCTTGTTCTCTGATGAGCTTTCCTCATGGAAACCATCTCTACTGACTTAGAAAATTGCCTGATTAGAAAATACAAGTTTCTTTCTCAAAATGCATACAATAAATAAGAGGATAAAGATGAAAATCAAAAGAAAAAAAAGATGAAAATCATCTGTAATCTCATCCCTGTTAATATTATGGTATATTTTACTCCAGACCTTTTTCTTTGTGTGTGCTTGCATGCATCTCCACACCCCACCTCCCCCCATGCATTTTTCTAACTGCAGACATCATCAATGAGCAGTTTTATCGCTGCAACAAAGCTTACAACTGTAAGGTACAAAAAGGGTAATTCCTCTGAATTTCTACAACTCATTTCAACTAATGTCAGCTGATCTGGAGTGGGATGAGGAGGATCCTTAAATGTGCCACTTCTTTTCTGGTTTATGGTAGTTCTTTTTGTGTAAATATTCAGTTAATTCCAAGTTCAGACTTTCCTTAGGGGCTGTGTTTGCTTTCTCAAGGGGCCTAATTGCCCTCCTGCTTCCTTGGGCTGACATCTAGGGGTGAGGGATGCTTGCATACCCTCCTGGGGCCGGAGGAGAGGGGCTTTGGTCGTGTTCTGCCTGCTGGGTTCTTGCCTCAGTTCCTCCTGGACACTGATGTCTTGTGCCGCTGGAGGCTGAGTTGTGGCTTGTCTGGTTAGGTCACCTGGGGGCATTTACTGGCCTCTGCTGCTGATGACCAGGTCTCTCCATTTGCCGATGGTTGCTTGCTCATTCTCTCTTTTATCAGTAGCAATAGGAGCCAGGTTCCTACCTCTCTCTCTTGTCACTATGGCTCAGTAGTTAGCTATAAGGGGCACCATGGACTGAGAAAAAAGGACTGTATGCATTTTTAAAACTTTTTATTTGGAAGTAATTTCAAATACAGAAAATTTGAAAGAATAGTACTAGGAACACCCATATACTCTTTCACATACATTTTTCCCTATTTGGTCGATCATGTGTGTGTTTCTCTTTATCTATGTACATGGCCCCTACCCCCCACCGTCCATTTGAAAGTTGCACACTGGAAGGTGCTTGTTGCTTTTCTCTGAATTTCCTAGTTTTGTTTTTGTTATGAACTCAGATGTGGCTCATATTCTATTTTTATTGAAGGCATTACACATGATGGAGGCTGTTCCCCACCTTCTGTGGTAGTCAGCTCTCTCCTCCTTCTCTTACTCTGCCTACCTCTGTCTCTAAAGCCAGGGTGTTACCTGTGGCGGAATAAGTGACCCACCCAAGGAGGTTCCCATGTCTGTCCTCAAGGAGACCAGTTTGGTTGTGACTCAGTTCCAAAGGTGCAGATTCCAATACAGTGCTGAGTGCGGACAGTCTGCCCAGGCCTGATGAACTCTAGACGCGGAAAGACTGCAATATACTCATTGATTTTCTGCCTGGACTCTGGTTAGGAGTCTCGCTTTTCTGCATTTCCTATACCCAGTCTATTAGAATAGAGTTGAATCTGCCTCCTAAGCATCCCACACACTGGTCCCTTTCTTTCTATTGCACTGCCATTGCCCTGGTTCGAGCTTCTGATACCTCTTGCCTCAATTCATTGCCTCCCAACTGGTTTCCCTGTTTCCATTCTTGCTCTATTACAAACCGTTTCTCACATAGGACATATAGATGTGTTTTTACTTTATTAACTCATCACTCTGCTTACACGCTGTGAGCAGCCTTCCCAGGGCCCTGCACGATCTGACCCCACCTCTTGCTTCACCCTCATCTCATGTCAGACTCCCCTCATCTAGTCTACTGTCCATTTCTTCATCACTGTGAGGCCTCTGCCTGTGCTCCTTTGGAATAATGGCAGTCTTCCACGGGCTCTTTGCAAGGCTGCCTCTTGAGTATCTTCAGGCCTCAATTTAAATGTGACTTTCTCAGAGTCTGCTCGTGACCACTATACAGCAAAGGGTCTTTCTTCTTCCCCTCCTTAAGTTCCCTTTCACGATGACCTAACAATTGCACTTTCCACAATTTGGAACATTTAAACACTTGTTTGCATATGTGTGATCTGATGAATTGCATATTTGTGTTGATGTTTTGACACTGTTGTATCTTTAGCAGCCAGCATTGTGCCTGGCACATAGTAAATTCTCAGTAATTTGATCAATGAATGAATAAGTCCATAATAAAAAATTTAAAAAGCTGTTCATTAGCTTAAAACAATTCTTGGCACATGGATGTTCCTCTTTTCTCTCTGTACATCAGCCAAGGTTACCAAATTAACATGTATGTTTGCTTATATGTATATGTACTCACACATATATGCCATCTTTTGAGAGGGGGAAAAAACCTACTTTATTCCTGTTCATACTTTTTCATTTCTTAGTCTATCTTGTTCTTTTAATTTTCTACAGTTTTCTCTTAATAAAATGTTTACTTTCCTCATATATACTTTTAAAAAACTATAACATATTCACATTTGAATTAGATCACAACAATTTCCTGTCAACCTCCAGTAGGCCTGGAGTCATTGCAACTATGGCTTTCTTTTAGACTTTTTAGACATTTTGTTCATTAATTTTCAGGGTTGTGTGTGTGTGTGTGTGTGTGTGTGTGTGTTTGAAAAACCTACATTGTGACAGGCACTGTTTTAGGTGCTTGGGATAAAGATATGAATAAAATAAAATCTTTGCCCTCAAGTAGTTCACGGTGTGCTTGTAATGAGGTTGTAAGCGTGAGCTGAGTGTGAAAGGAGCCCCAGAGAAGGGGAGACAAACTTTTCTTGAGAGAGTTAAGGGTGGTGGAGAGTAGCACGTGAAGGATGAGGACAAGGGAGAGTTTAGACAGCATTTGCTCTCTCTTGGCCGCAGGACTACTGTGGCGAAGGCGGTGTTCCAGGGAGGTAGGGTCAGCTAAGTCAAGAAACCTTTGCCAACCATGTCTCTCACTGCACTGGGGCAACTTAATTGAGGACCATTGGTCTTCATCCACTGCCATCCAGTACATTCCCATTTCCTTTTAAATTTAGACAGACGTAAAGAAATAGTATAATTTACTATGACATCTACAATGGAGGGAGGCATTACAACTAACAGTAACTGAGCTATGCAGAAAGCGCAGGAAACTCGTGCTTAGGAAGTGATGGAAGTCAGAGGCAGGAAGACATGAAATAGTTGGTAGTCAAGTGTAATTGTGGAGGGCTTTATAGGTGGGCACATTTTTTTTTATATTTAGGAAGTCGAAAAATTAAGTCAAATTCAGCTTTATAGTGGAAAGTAATCAGAATAGGTATTAGTCTATTACAGAAAAAAATGAAGATTTTATAGAGTAAGGCAATGTAGGGACTTGGTATAATTAGAGCAGTGGTCAGCAAACTTGTGGCTCGCGATCCACGTGCGGCTCTTTGGCCCCATGACTGTGGCTCTTCCACAAAATACCGACTTCTGCGCATGGGCCATGAAGTTTCAATCGCATCGTATGTGCGCGCCCGCATTTGGTATTTTGTGGAAGTGCCACACTCAAGGGGCCAAAGAGCCGCATGTGGCTAGCGAGCCACAGTTTGCCGACCACTGAATTAGAGCAAATGAATTAGGAGGGTGTGAAGGAGGAATTGAACAAGTATTTTTGTCCTTTACATTTTAATATGAATAATTATTACCTAGTCTGTTAGGGGGTAGTAGATTTATAATTTCTTTGTGTTTGACATTGACGAAGGATGTTAGAATGCTTTTGCATATAATTGCATTATACTATTTGTAATATCATCTGATTGAATGCAGATGTCTTATAATTTGATCTTGTTTATGTCGAATTTATATCATATGCCAAAAGTTCCCAAGGGAGAAGGAACCTATGCCTTGATTTAGAAAGTCTGCCAATTTTGGAAAATCTGTCTTTAGTTACTGATTTCTCTTACAGTCTGCCTGACTCTCCAAAGACTCTTGAAGCAACCAAGAACAGATCGGCCATATCCCTCTTGGCTGCAGAGGAGGAAATAAATCAGCTAAAAAAGCAGTAAGGAAAAAACTAAAGACAGGAGCATTGCAGCCTGCTGATTAATCTTTGCATTTCGCTTTTTTGGTGTTCCATTACAATACGAAAGAATCTGTTCACAATCAAAGAGGAAAGGGAACAATATTTTTATTAATGTTTTATATATTTTTCAAAAACATTACCTATCTACTGGAGAGAATTTCCAAAGCACAGTGTAGTATAAAGGAAGCTAAAGACCCTCTCATAATTCCAGAACCAGTTACTGTTACCATCTGACATTTCTTCCAATTCATACATTAGTAATAGAGTTAAGGCTACAAAATAAGTGTAAGTTTATAACTTTGGACCCCAATTGTTCAGTTAACATTGTTTTCCCCTTTTACTAAACAAACAAACAAACCTTCTGCAGAACTTACTTCTGAATAGGTGCATCATGTTCCATCATTTGGGTGTTTCTTTAATATCAACTATTTACTTTGATACCAATTTTCTGCATTGGAAATAACCTCGTGATGATTTCTGTAGCAAATCTTAGTTAAAATTTCTGGGTATTCTCTAAAGATAAATTTCTAGAAGGGGAAAACAAACACTGATCATTTAAGGTTATATACCTTCCTTGATTTTCATTTTGATTTTCCCTCCATCCCAAAGAGCAAGTAAACATTGTATTAAAACATATATATTATATATAT